GGGTTAGGGTTAGGGTTAGGGTTAGGGTTAGGGTTAGGGTTAGGGTTAGGGAGTAGCCGAGTAGGCGTAGGTGACTCCCTCTAGACTCGTTAGTGGAGTAGGCGAGGTACGGTCCGGCATATTAGATAGTACCAGGGTACGTTCCGGCAGTACCCTGGGGGACATAGACCCTCTCAGCTTAAGCTACCAACACCAGCCATCTGCCTGTTCGGATCAGCAAGATGGCTGTAAGTCGGAAAACATCGGAAGGAAAGCAGGAAACTCGAGACGGCGACGGGAAGCGAACGACGGGAGATCGACGCGAGACGATAAAGTGTCTCCGCGTTTCGTTCAACATGAGCGTGTTGACTGCTCGGTGTCGTGCGCTCAGTCGCCATAAACGCTACCGACCAAAAAACGGACCACCGTCCGTTGACAAACACACAAAGTAGTACAACCCAGTCACGTGAACAAACAAGATGCGACGGCAGTGCACACGTGCAGTACACACGAATAGTGTGTGTGTGTGTGTGATTTGTATATCATCTTGATATCATGTGTGTGATGCATGTATGAATAGTACATATATGTGTATATATATAGATATAGATATATATTATGGTATACTGTCTATGACGCAGCAGCTTCGTGTGACTTCAGGCATAGCTGTAAATAAAAAATAACTCTCATCTATATGTTCAACGACATCACCTCGCTACTACGGGTCACAGTCATTAGCTTAGTTGTGCCTTTCTCGTCGCGAAAGAACGAGATCGAACTACTGCATACAGCATGATCAGAAGTGGGGGTGGGAGGGATTGTGCGAATAAAACAAATGGCTCACTGTTAGGTGTCGTTGACAAGCAGTAGCCAAGATATCGCAGGAAGTGTGTGATGTGTGCAGCGTCTTGTGTGTGTGCGCGAAGCTCCGAGTGGTCAAACGCGGGGATACCATGGCAACGATTTTGCGTGGAGTCTACAGGTGCTTGTGAGCAGAAGACGCAGGCCAGAGAGCGTAGCTACTCGGAACGAGTCAGAAAGCCGGATTCCTTGCACTTCGTAAAGGTAGGATTGAAACTGTCGTGTGAAATGAACGAGGTCAGCGCGTCTTCGCAGGTATGAAATGGAGCCACACCTGCGCTTACACTGCAGGTGCGCGAATAACGCCATTGCTTGACAGGATGGAATCATTGTATTAACTTCGTCGGAAACAGAACTATCCACAAAATAATGTTAATATAATCAAGAGTCCATAATTTTACATCATGGACTCTTGATATAATACACGGGCGGTTTCATACCGGGGGGGGGGGTATATTGACGGTTTTATTTCAGCATGTATACATCGGGTGCGAACTAATGACCCTCCTGCTCCCCGCGCGCCGCGGGTGGTGGTTAGATTAAATCATATATTATACATATATATAATACTAATACAATTTGCCTCTGCGCTTCCGCGTGCATCCACGCAAACATCGGTGATGACGCAGAGCCCATCGAAAAGTGGGAATTTCACACAATATATATACCGAAATACAGGATGCGCCATGATGCGCCTCATGAGGTGATCGAGAGCCTTCTTAAGAAACTTCTTAATTCACTAAACGGAAGCTTACAGAAGATTCGACGTATTTGCAGGTAGCCAATCCCAGCCGTGTAGGCAGTCATGTAATTACCTCCGCGCAACGGAGGTCATGTAATCGGTCTCGTGTGTGTGTGTGTAGCCACCGCGCGATCGATAGCGCGTCGAGTCAGCGAGTGGCGAGTCAGCAGCAGCCACCAGTGAGCGGCGAGTCAGTAGCAGGCGAGTCAGTCAGCAGCCGCCACCAGCGAGCACATACATGTTACACGGAGGTATGCACTCTCCGTGAGTGCCCTCTGTCTAGTTTTTATTATGTGATTCACGCGGCGCAACAAGTAGCAGATGAACTTTGATCTAGCGACGGACGTCGTTTCCGCATGGTGGCAGGGTTGCGGTGTCGCCGCACCCTACCTCCGCTCTCCGTGCCGCTGCAATAATGCATCTTGTATGTATCTTGCCATGTATTGTATATATATATATTTATTTATTTATTTATTTATATATATGTGTGCGTGCGTGCGTGTGTGTGTGTGTGTGTGTGTCTGTCTCTGTCTGTCTGTCTGTCTGTCTGTCTGTCTGTCTGTCTGTCTGTCTGTGTGCGCGCGTTTGCGTGCGCGTGTGTCTGTGTGCAGTACTACCTGGCCATAATACAACCACCCACCACTACACTGCAACAACTCGCCGATCCGCCCGATGAGTACATACTTAACCGCGCAGACGCGTGCAACCCTATACACGACGCCCTCATTTCATTCGAGGATTTCTCAACTTTTCTCTGCGGTAGAAAATTCGCGTCGTAAACGTCCGCTGCTAATCGCATTTCGCGAGCAGTCGTGCGCATGCGCGCGCGAGCGCCATTTCTTCCCCGGCTGAGCGATAAAACGACTTAAACGCTATTGTCACGTCAGTCGAACAGAACGTGCAAAGGGGTGCAATCGAAACAGTGTTTGTTGTAGCGGTAACCTTACGGCCAGGCTGTCGATAGCTTCACCCGCGAGCCGCGGCGAGCAAATCATGACGATAGTGACGTCAAGCGCTCACGTAAACTCTACGCCGGCGTTCATTGGTCGCCGCTCGCCGCTCGACTGGCGTCCGCGTTGCGCATGCGCTGCGTCGGTAGGCACCGAGCGTACGTGCGCGTGGCGACGTGTCCGGCACAGCAAGGCGACGCAGTGCGCGTGGCGACGCTGTTCCTGCATCAGAACAACAGCGGTCGTGCGCAGAATCGGCGCGCGCTCACCGCTAGGGGGAAGCACGTACGCGTGCGTGGAAGAGGCGAGCTGCTGCGTGAGGCAGCTACGCCGAGAACGGTCGGCTAACGAACAGCTGCGAGCGTGTACGTGTGCGTGTGTGCGCGCCTGCGAGTTCTACGTGCTCGGCAGTGGCTTCTCATTAGGTTGGTCGAGGTGAAAGCGGCGGCGGAAAGCGGTGGCCTGAGAGAGACAGAGAAAGAGAGAGAGAGGGGGGAAGTAAGATACTGAGGGCCGTACGTGCAGGAGCGAGGTTGCCACAGATTGAGGCATTTATTAGTAGCCGTGCGCGCGTCGATCGGATTTAAGCGCGTTGTGTAGAAGTGTTTGAGCTTCGCAGAACAGCCAGCAGAAACAGGTGAGCAGTCTCTCTCTGTCCTCTCTCTCTCTCTCTCTCTCTCTCTCTCTCTCTCTCTCTCTCTCTCTCTCTCTATCTGCTCTCCTCTCAGACTCTCGTCTCTCGTCTTCGTCTGCTCTCGTCTTCTTCTTCTCTTCCTGGCACTGTCTCTCTGCTCTCTCTCGCCCTCTCTCTCTCTCCTCTCCCCTCTCTTTCTCTTCTCTCGCACTGTCTGCATCTCTCTCCTCTCCTGGTCTCTTCTCTCCTCTTCTTTCTCCTCTCGTCTCCTCTCGCTTTCTCTCTTTCTCGGCCTCACCTTCTCTTTTCTCTCTCTTTCGTCCCTCTCTTTTCTCTATCTCTTCTCGCTCCGTCTCTATCTCCCTCTCTGTCTCGTCCTCTTCTCTCTTTTCTTCTCTCTCCTCTGTCTCTCCTCCTTCCTCTCTCTCTTCTCTCTCGTTCTTGTCCCTCTCCTCTCTTCTCTCTCTCTGCTGCTCTCTATCTCTGACTCTCTCTCCCTCCTCCTCTCTCCACCTCTTCTCTCTCCTTCCGATCTTTCTCGCTCTCCT